GAGGGGGCGAATCTGTTTGGCCTGAAGAAGAAGTGGGCTTCTTCTTTTTCTCCCTCTAAGTCTCTTCTTCCCCCTCTCTCGCTCTTGTCTATGTAGGTATATACTCAGTTAGTGGAACAGATCTGATCGACATTATTCATCAACAAGACTGGATTACTCGAGTTGCTTTGTCATTGAGCCACTGGACTTATGTGTGAACAATATCTGGTTGTCCAATGTGTGTTATCTCACCTGGGTTCATTGCATTCATAGTTTTATGTGCTATTTCAATTTATTTTAAATCAGAAAACGATCCATTCATGAAAATAAAAAATCACTTTGTATTTTCCAAAAAACCATAAAACTGTGTCACACATCGTAGAATACTTCGCTAGTGGGTCCAGGCCCCTGGGGCCTGGAGAGGCCCTGGACCCACCTGCAAATATCCACGTACAAGCCTTTCTTTCAACATTTCTGTAAAGTGGGTATCCGACAGTTGCAGCACGCCAGTTGGTTGGTGTGCATCGTGGATCCCAGACTCCTGCGTGAAGCAGTTGAGCCCAGGGCCTCTGTTGGTTGAGCCCTGGGCGCAGGCCAGGACAGGCCGGCACATCACACACTGGACGCTGGCCAACCAGAAAGCAGCATTGTCGTAGTAAGGCCGAGCGTACCAATGGGAAACTGGGAAAAGTCTGCATCTGGACGACAGCCCTGGGATAAGGGCCGCAACTGTACTTCCTGGGCCACACTGGGGTGGGCCTGGGCACAGCTACTGGGACACAGGCACAGGCTCGAAGCAGGCCGCCCACACGCAAGCAGTGACATATAGGCAGGCAAAGCGAGTGGGCAAGGATCCTTGGCCAATGCAGGCATTGCCGACACGCTGCGCGAATGCGGGTGTGCTGCGCTGTGTAAAGTTGCGTTGGGCATGAGGGAGACAGGCAGCGCTAATACGGTGGTGCGCTGCCTGGGTGCAGGGCGCTGGCGGCCATAGCCGGGCTGCTGGCGGGCGCAGTGGAGGTGAAGGGCGAAGGTGGTTCTTAGGAGGTGAAGGGCGCTGTGGCCCGTGGGTTATCAAGGGAGAGTGTGGGTGAAGAGGAGAGACATACCTGGGTGAAGAGGAGGTGAACATTCGTGTTGACATCATCACTTGCTGGTCATCAAGTTGTCTGGTTGCTCGCATGCTGTAGTTGTAGGCTTAGTCTATACAGTAGATAGGGCGCCAGGCGCCATTCAAGAGAGAGAGCTACACTGGGTTATGCTGTTGGTGTTGCCCGATTGGGCTATGAACATTGACTGACAATTCTACTGTTTCGTAGGCGGGAACTCAATAGGCATTCA